GGGGTACAGACTCGACTCCGAAGGGCAACAACCCACTCGTGGCCCTTATGCAGAAGCAGGACAAGTCCCGCCCTCGTCCCTGCAGCCGCCAGCGAGCTGGGACCACGGGGAGGAGCCAGCACCCAGTGGGTGACCTGAGCAGGCCGGGGCGTCTCCAAGGCCACAGACATTCTTCATTGTTCCTTGTTGAAGGAACACGAGGGGGGAGGGCAGGAGACACAGATGGCACCCCGGCAGGCTTTTAGCTCTGGGGTACACCCCAGCCCCAGTCCCAGCCCCAGCCCCAGCCCCAGCCCCGGCTTGTGGGCACTGGCAGGTCACCGGATATAAACCGGACTCTTCCCACAGGTCAGCCTGTCAGAGCTTTGAGCTTTACCGCCACGGCACCCAGACCCCCGAAACGCGCACAGGGACTGGGAGCTGCTGCGTCGCAGCTGAAAGTAGTCGGGTTCACTCTGCTGGGGGTGGCCTGGCCAGGCTCCCTGGCTGGGGCTCCCACCACAAAGGACCCCAGGGCCATGCTGCATGGTCAGACAGACTTCCCTCCTCACACCCCCCACCCTGTGCCCATTTCCCTTGACTTTTGCTAAGTGTGAGGAACCCATAAAACCCTGTTTGGGAGGCCGTGTCCTGGTCCGTGGCCATTTGAGCCCTTGCCTGTCATCAACCACAGTGGTGGCCTCGTTCCACGGGCGGCCCCGCTTGGCCGGCTGACGCCACGCATCTGCCCTCCCAGCATGTCCCTCCTGTCACCTCCCGACAGTGATGTTCTTAAGGCAGTTTCCTGTGAAGCCTGCACTGGGACCTCAACTCCTAGCGCCGAGCAGAGGGGACAGCGGCCAGGTTGGCCCTGCTCCGTCAGCAATGCCTGAAGCCTTGGGAAGGCAAGAGGGGGCTTGTCACAGGAAACATCGAAGTTAACTTTATAACGCACCCACGCGAAAGGCCGCACCACGTTAAGAGCAGTTTGGATGTTTGTACATAAGGCCGGGTGGGAGGGCTCTGGTGTGGATCCGCACCGGGCCTGGACGCGTGGCAGGACCCGTGGTGGCCACAGCGCGGCCCATCTGGTCTCTGTTCTTGCTGAGCTCGCGAGGCCCCTGGGGCATGGCTGCTGGGGGAGGCTGGGTGCCTCTTCAGATTCCTGTGGCTTCTCCCTGGAGGCAAGATGGATGCTGGTCCCTTGGCTGGGCTGTGTTTACCGCTCAGTCGGCTTTTCTGGTGGCTGGGTTGTGCCAGGGCCTGGGGCACCGCGAGGCTGGCGTGTCCCTGCACAGCTGTACCCGCGGCTGGGCTGTGGGAGAGAGCAGAGCCTGTCCGGTTCTTCTGTATGCAGGCTTCGCGGCAGGCCTGCATCTCCTCCGACAGCAGGGCAGGGACTGGGCGTGGACCTGTGAGTGTTCGGGGAACCGACTTCGTGGTAGAGGAGAAAAGAGCTGGAAGGGACCCGAGGATCTGCCGAGACACCTCCAACTCGTAATTACTCCATGCTGTCCCGCAGGCGGGCGTCGGAGGGAGGTGACCCGCATCCCAGGCCTGAGCCCACAAAGCAGGCTGTAGCCTGAGAACAAAGAGGCCTTTCTCTGCACCTGGGGACGCAAGCACGCCGGCGGGTTAAAAATACCTTGTGTTTTGCATCTCTGTGCCCGACATGGCAAGAAGCCAGCCAAGGAAGGCTGTTCTCATCACCCACGTTCCCCTGGGCAGGGCAGCAGGCTGCCCCCCCCCACCCGAGTGTACGCGGGCCTCACAGGCACCCCGGTCACACTGGGGACAGGCCCCTTTCGGGCTTCCCATCGTCCTCATCTGCAGCCTGGTGTGTGGGGCCCGGCCTTGTACTGGCCCATGGGCCGCTGTGTGCTCCCCTTGTTAAAGACTAGAGCCATGGGGCCTTCCGTAGCCTGGTGGTGAAGGGAGTAGATCCTGCGTGGCCAACCATGGTTCAAATCCCAGCCCTGACAGCTTGAAAAACATTCTGGGTAAATGTGTGTTTGAGCCCCAAATCCCGACAGGACAGAGAAACGGAGGAGACCAGTGTGACCGCGCCCCGCTAGGGAGCACGCTCTCCCCCTCTCCGGCGGGCGGTGTCCTCGGGCACACTGGAGCAGGCTGCAGCCAAGGGTACCCTTTTCTGATCTGCAAAGGCCACGAGAGACGGCACGAGCCTGGGGCTGGGGTCGGAAGGCACCATGGGCCTAGAGTCTTTGGGTTCCCCCAGGCTCATGGCATGCAGCTTGAATCGGGGATCACATGTGGTCCAGGCCAGGGCCTGCCTGTGGGCGTCTGCTGCCCACACGGACCAGGGTGCTGCCCTGACCACAGCCTGGGCTAGATGGCCGCGTGCGGCTTTGGTGAGAGGCCACCCCTCTCCTGGACTGCAGGGAGGTTTTGGTGAGAGGCTCCCTACACACGGTAACAGGCCCCTCTCTTCCAGATGGCCACCACGTCTGGGAGATGGAAGCGAGGACTGACAGAGACGTGTGCCAGCCGGTAAGAGCCCGTCCTGCCAGGGGTCGGGTGGGCTCCTGTCCGTGAAGACGCAGAGCTCGAAGCGCGAGAGAGCAGCGTGGGTGCCAGGGTGTCCACTGTGGGAACAGTCACAGACTGACGACAGTCCCAACACTGCCACCTGGGCTGGGTCAGAGACGTTCCCAGGAGAAGCACTGTCAGAGGCTGCGGCCCCGCCTAGTCCCTGTAGGCCATGTCCTAGCTCCCTGCGAGCGGCCCAGAGACGGCCTTGAGCCTCCCGAGGGGCGCCATGCCTGGGCACGCATGCCGCCCTGCGCTTCCTCGGCTGTGGCCTCTCGCCATCTCTTCAGAGAACCCCAGTGGCACAATCGATTCCATTTGGGACGTGGCTGAGCTGTGAGGGCCACCTGCCCGTGTCTCTGGTCCGCAGGTCCCATGCACTGACTAGCCCGTGGCCTGCGTGTGCCGAGGTCGAGGCGGGTGTGCGGCATGGTGCTGCCTCGTTCCCCCTGCACACGGCGGCTGCACCTCCCCTGACTCCTGGCGCTCGAGGCTTTCCTGTCACCTGCACAGAGCGGGTGCCTGAGCGTAAGCGGTACTTCCCCAGTTAGCGGTGGAGACTGAGGCACTGGAGTTAACGTAAAGCCCTGGGGTCGTCAGGTAGGGTTCCGGTGTCCACCTTCCCTCGTCCTCTACTTCTGCTCCGTCCGCTCTGACGGCTCCTGTCTCTCCCTCTGTGTCCCTACACCATCCACGTTTGAAATGGCTTTGATGCAGTTAGGTGAAACCGGCCGCTGGCTTTCGGGGAGCTCTGCTTGGCCCTAGAGAGCCAGTGAGCACAAAAGCCACCAGCAGGCAGGTGTTGGCAGCCAGCCAGGGCCGCCCAGCTCTGCAGCCCCTTCCCCGAGGCTGGGCGTGTGCCTGCCAGGCTGTGCCTGGGCACCAGGCCAAGGACTTCTCTGTCTCTCGGGCCCTCTTGGGGCCACATGAGTTGAACCCCCAGGTGGCGAGTCCAGGAAGGCCTCCTGGTCACCCGTGCGTGGGTGAGGCTGCGTGCACGGCTCACTCCCAGCACGTCACGGCTGCGTGTCCTCCCAGGACTGGCGCCGTCCTCGCGCACCCCGCCCCTCCTCCACTCCAGCCCCTCAGAAACCTTTCCAAATGCAGAGGTTCCCGTGTGTGAGCTGTCCGAGGAGGCCCAGCGTGGTGGCGCCTAGCCCTCAGGTGTCACAGTCGCATGGGCCAGGTGGTCTTCCCTCGTTTTCTTCCTTTACCTCGGAACTGCTGAGTTGATGCTGAGGGTCCCCAGGGCAGGCCTGCCCTTCCTCCAACTCGTCCACTTCCACTCCTTGCGCCGCAGCCTCTGCACTGATCATGGTGGCCGGCAGCCTTGGCGGCGTGGGCAGAGTCCAAGGGCTTCCTTAGAGCGTGGGTGAGCTCTGAACCCTGGCTTCTCTCCCCCGCCGGCCCCCAAGCCCCGCCTAGGACCCTCCTCTGTGGGCATGCTCTCACCCGATGGCCCATATGTCCGGCTCCCCGTGTCCCCCTCATGGCCCTCAGAGGCCCGGCTGTGCTGGACACCAGGCTGCCTGCCCCACCCTGCACGGGGAGAAGAGGCCACGACACCACGGACCTCTCTGTCCTGAAAGTCGTTCCAGCCACGTTGGTCTTCACATCTCCTGTCACCCTTTCTCACTTTAACAGCCATGTTCTGTAAGAGGGAGGGCTGTGTCCCGCAGTGGAACACGCAGAGAACACGGAGCACAACGTGGCCGTCCCCTCCCATCTTGCGAGTGAGGGAATTTCCAAAAAGACATCTCCGTTTTATTTTGAGAGAGATTTGTTTTGCTATAGGGTACGTGCCCTTGCCAGAGAGACAGAAAGTGAGAAGTCGTCCCCCACCCCCATCCCAATCCCTTCTGTAATCTCCACTTGGGATTTGGGGGATGCACACACATGTGCCCAGCATTGGTTTTTTGTTTTGTTTTGTTTGTTTTTTGGAGGTTTTTGCTATAGGGCACGTGCACTTGCTAGAAAGACAAAGGCAGAAAGCGAGAAATCATCCCCCGGGGGCATGGCCATGCCCAATCCCTTCTCCTCCATGCTCCTCTCAGGATCTTGGGCACGCATGCACACGTGCCCAGTGTGAGTTTAAATCACCGGGTCCAGGATTTGAACCGTATCCGACTACATGGGAGTCCAGCGACACAGCCATTACGCCAACTGCTGGTCCCCCAAACAGATGTTTCCAGTGATGAGAGCTCATGCGAGTGGCAGTCTGGAAACAGCGCGCAACGTGAAGCCGACGTAAAGCCAGTGCAGCCTCCCCACGGGGACAGCACCGTCAGCCCCTCACACGCGCCCTCTTCCCTGCTGTCCTTGCAGACGTCATGCACACGTGTGTGTTACACGCAGCCACGAGCGTGTGGGGGTAGGGGTGTTCTAGACAGGGTATCTCTGGTGCACCCTCGGCCCCAGCCCTGTCAGCTGGGTTACAGCACGTGCTGGTGCCCGGCGTGTCCTGGGTGGACCTGGGTCTGAACCCGGCCTCCCATGTGGCCCCGGCCGGCCCCGGCAGGCACCTTAGAGGAGGGGATGTGCAGGCTCCGCGGGCGGTCCTTCTGACCCGAGGCCCTTCCCAGGCTCGGCCTTCCAGCCGCCCTGGTCCCACCCTTCCTGTCTCGCCTCTGGAAGCGCCAGGGGACATTCTGCTGTGTAGGTGGTCAGCACAGGGCCGAGGCCGCTCGGTACCCACCACGCAGTGCGGGGTTTACTGCACGGCCTGCCCGGACCCCGCCCTGCACCGCCGTGCCTCACTTCCACATCCGTCTCCTTTCGCCCACTTCACACTCCGTCTGGGGTCGTGTTTCCGTGACCGGAGACTCGATGGGGGCCCACGGCTAAGCATGGCTGTGTGGCCACTCCCTGGCCGTGAAGGGAGTCCTGGGAAAACCAGCTCAGGATAGCATCTTTCTCTGTGTCTTCCCTGCGTGGACGGCACAGCTGGGACTCAGGACCTAAGTCCCATCAGCCCGCCAGGAGAAGCTGAGCCGTCGGCGTCCTGTGGCTGCAGGGAGGACGCTGGCGCCTCTGCTCAGTGTTGCGCCGACTCCGCCTGGCCCTGGTGCCGAGAGCAGGAAGGCTCGGCAGGCCCTGTGCCGGCTGCTACTTGCAGGCGAGGTTAAGAGACACGTCTGGTTGTCTGGAGGGGCCTGGCCTGCCTTCCTGTCCCCCCACCCCCTGGTGGCCACGGGCTCTTCTTGGACGTGTTCCTTCTGGGTTAAACTGAAGCCATGTGATTTTAGAAACAAAACAAATGCTTCACGGAGGTGGGACCCACTGCAGCTGTCATGTGCACCCTCTCCAGGGTAGGTCTGGCAGCCCACGTCAGGTCTGGCCAGTCTGGCCCATAATTCCCAGCACCCGGCCTGGCTACTCGCTACATCTTTGCTTCCAGGGATGGAGGATGTTTTGTAGAAGCATTGCTGATCACTATTTCAGAACTGTGGGAAGGGAACAGCAGGCACACCCACCAGGCGGTCCCCACCTGCACGGCCCACACTGCGGGTCAGGCGGCCTGGCCATCCTCGGTGGGAGGATCTGGGGGCCCCCAGGGCCATGGCCGAGGCTGCAGGACCTTCCCAAGGATGGCACCTCCTGGGGGCCCTCGCTTGGTTGGTCTGTAAAAGGTGCTTCCGGGAGGCTGGCCACAGGGGCTCCTCGTCCAGGCCTCGGGAGGCCACTGGCCGGGTGGCGGCAGACAGAGCTTCCGAGTGAGCTGAACACTCTCCCTGCGCAGCCGGCCCTCGCCCCCCTGTGCTTGCGGTTCTTATCCTGGGCCAGGTCGGCTCAGCCCCTGTAAAGGCCTCATGGCTTCTAGCCACACGAAGCTAAGGACAGCCACCTCTCTGGGAGCACATGTGACAGGACCCCTGCCCCACACACGTGTGTGCACCACTGTTGCATCCCTCGTGGCCGCTGACTGGGTGGAGCGCTCACCGTGCCCCGAGCAGAGCACGCCTTAACGGTCTCCTCCCTCTTTGCGTGTCCCCAGAACTCATTGGTGGTCGAGATCCCGCCTTTCCGCAACCAGAGGGTCACCAGCCCCGTGCACGTGAGCTTCTTCGTCTGCAACGGGAAGAGGAAGCGGAGCCAGCAGCAGCCTTTCACCTACCTTCCCGCCCACGGTAACGCCGTCCCTCTGATCCCCAGCACCGATGGGGAGCCCTCACGGTGCTCTTTCTAACGACGGTGCAGTGCGGCGGCACACTCCTGTCGCAGTTCGGACCGCACCGTCCTGTCAGACCAAACGTGGCCTCTCGCGGCGGCCCCCAGCGCGGGCTGCGGTGGGAGCCGCACACTGGGGTGGCGGGGCCGCGCTGGCTCCCTGCCCTCCGTGGTGGCCTTGCTGTTCCCGAGTGCTGGTCGCAGGTGGAGGGCCTCTGTCCAGCCAGCTCATGGGCAGCTTGATAGACCCGTGCTCGCTGCGGAGCCTCAGGGTGGGCACAATGCGGGTCGCGACCCCAGGTGCTCTGTGGTCCTGCGATCGTGCTGTTCTCACTGAGCTGTGTGTCCCCGAGACGTGGGCCACGGGAGCTGTCTCACAGCCCCTCACACAGCTCACCCGAGAGACCAGCTTACCCTTACACTCTGGTGTTTTCTAGAAGAAAATGCCACCCAGATTGTCCCTCACTCCCAGAACTAATGGAGAAGGGGGTGCATCTGCATGGGCTCCTTCACCGCAGGGTCTCAGGCCAGAGGCCAAGGTCCAGTCCCAGCCCGAGCCTTCCTTCTGGGCGCACGGCGGTCACCTGGTAACACCGTTGCTGCTTTTCCAAGAGGCTTTAGAGATCCCCGTCCTCGAAGGAGGGCGGAGGAAGGGCGGAGGGCGCAGTGACGTCCGGCCTCAGGGCTGGTCTCCCTTCTCCGGACGTCAGCGGTACATACAGCAGGCCGGGCCTCCACGGGGCGCTGAGCTGCTGGGACTGGCCCTTGCTCCAGGAGGTCCTGGAAAGGCATTTGAGAGCCACACGACATGGCGCGAAGTCACGTCATGAGCACAGAGCTGTCGCAGTCCCGGGGTGGCTAGCCCAGCCTCGGTGTGGGCGCCCCTGCTCTGGCTCCGCGGGGCGCACGTGCCTCCGGGTCCCCTCCACTTGTAATAAGGCGCGGTAAGCCTTGCAGACAGAAACGTTCACCCTTTAGTTGGAGACGTAACGATGGTGGCCTAATTCGACTGCAAGCATGGCTGACCCAACGTGGAGGGCCTTAGAGGAAAAAGCCCATGTCTCCGACCCGCTCCCAGAGCGGTGTGGAAATGGCACACAGGTCTCACCCCGTCCATGCGGCATGCCGCAACTCAGCGTACCAGGACTGCTCCGAGGCCAGAGCCACAGCCGCAAAGGGAGCCCACGTGCGCCACGCACCCTCCCACAAGGCCGAGGTCGCCGACCGCCGGACCACGCTGCTGCCGCCGCCACGTCCTACCCTCCGCGCTGGG